TGGTGCGTCATTCGAAGCCAGACGGACCATAAATGTGCTTTGCAGCCACCAGAAATACAATAAAGACAGCATACGGCAGCTCGCCTGCATTGAGCGGCAACAATAAAATGTACAATAAATCAATATAGAAGAAAACGTCTTGCATAAAAAATTCGCAAAAAGGGGAAAAGAAAAATCGAGAAAAGAAACCCCTGAATGGATTTTCCACTTAATTGTTCTGCAACAAATTACAAGCCTAACCGAATTTCCAGACTCAATTATACAGGGGAGAAAAAAAATGTATGTATATAATATATGGGGAATCCTGAAAACTTTAAAGGTTGCCCACCAGATTTTTCCTACCACCAACCACTCTTAAATTCCCTCTTCCCCTTCACAAGCCGGCCGGCTGGCTTGTCCAGTTTGTTTTGGGCCCCTTTTTGCTTTGCTTTTGGCCAACTTGCTTACTTGTTTGTTGGCCCCGCTAAAGGCAAATTGTTTCTTTCTGGCTTTTGCGTTTTCGTTTTTTCTTTGGCTCTTTAAGCAGGTGTTACTTGTGTGTGTGTGTGTGTTTGTAACTCACCTTACAAACTTGTTTGTTTCTATTGTTGTTGGTGTTACTTAATCGTCTGCGGACAGGTTATCGTTTGCTCTTGAACTTGAGGCAAGCAAACAAACAAACTGAATGTGGAACTTGGACGGACCAGAGTGAGAATAAATACGACAGCCAAAAAATTGGTCTAAGGTGACTTCGAACTTTGTGCGTTGACAGATGGCGATGATGGATGGCCTCCCACCTCCTTGTTGTGATAGGAGGTCCAGTCAAGAAAAGCATGCTTTGAGGTACATAAAATTTAATGAATTACGTAAGTAGAATAATGAATCTGCTAATTTTATGAATAAAAGGAAAACTATTTCTAGATTCTATAGTTCACACAAAAAGGCTTTCCAAAAAAAAAAAAGGATTTGTCAATAAAATAGATGTTAAAAAACTTTATACTACTGTAGCGAAAACAGTTTTAAAAATTGAACATAAATAAATAATAAATATAAAGTACGTGTATGTAGATTAAACTTTCAAGATCCTCAGATATTAGTAATCAAATTTTTAACCTTTTAAACTTTGTTTACAAACGCTAATCAATAATCATTTTCGTGACTTAGTAACATGGAATAAAGATAAGAACACATCAGTGTTTACGGACCTAAAAAAGTACGTGTATATACATATAAAATGTTTTAATTTAAAACAAATTCTTTATTCTATAATATAAACATTGTTCTAATAATACATATAAGGCTCTTATAATATCTATAAAGATTATTTATTTATTTGCTAATCATTTATTTACAAGATTAGTTCATGAAATGCTCTATGAAAATAGACCTCGCATGAAAAGAGAATTGTTGCCGCCATGAATATATCGCAAGTTCCAATCGGTGTGCTTTCATCACATCTTCTGTTAACCATTCGTATACACCAATGAGGCGTGCCCCTCCCACTTTCCTTTCCTGTTTTCCCCTTTTTCCCTCCCCGTCCGTTTAACGCGGACAGCAATTATTAAAACAGAGCCATTGGCGACATGATAAACGATTTCCGCAATATTTCCGCCTGCCCAGGATGGCGAGGCACAAAAGGTAGGTCGGCAAAGGGAAGGGTTTACTGTAGGGTTGGCCCAACCTTTTACCCAACCCCCTGCCCCTGCTCTTGCTCTTGCTTCTGCCCCAGATCCTGATGAGCCGCGGGGGCGATACGCTTACTGCGAAACACTTCAGTTGGCTACACAAATTTGTGCACGGTTCGCAAATCGTCGCTGCGATGCAAATTGCTGAACTGTTGAGAGGCAACAAAAGATGCCAAAAAGAGCTAGGTTTCACTAATGAACCCGATTTTGTTTCTCATATAGATATTTAATTGTCCAATACATCGGTGTTACAATCACAAAAATTGTATTTTATAAATAAATGTCTTTTGGCTCTTTACAATTTGTAAAATCCTTCTAATGTTTGAGTGCCTGAGAAATCCTATACGCCAACTACAAAATAACTCACTCTTATTTAATTAAATTTCAAGGATATGGAATGGAATTGTTAAGTTTCATAGAAAGAGGGGTGTCAAAGCAAAACCAATCCAGTTAAATGCCCAAGAAAAATGTTTAGCAAAAAATCACCTTTGAATGGAGCATAAAGTCACTTCTCATTATCTTGATTAACAAATATGCAAATTGCTTTAATTATGCGATTTGTTGAACGCCAAGTGAACGACCTTGAAAATACGATACAAAAGAGAAAATAATATTTGCATTGCATTCTTATTAATGACTGGACTAATGGGGAAAGAAATAAAAGATAGTTTTTAAAAATGTATGGTAAAAAGAATGTCTCATAAAGTCATCATTTATTATTTATTTAAATTAAATTTGTTTAATTCTAAAGTGTAAGCATATAACAAAATATTAGTCTTGTATTTGATTTTATATTTGTCTTATGCTTGAAGAGCATATGCGAAAGAATTGAATAAGGTTAATAAATGAATAATTCCCGCCACTGTCTAACTTTGTCGTTTGCTTCATTCTCTGTTGCCTTGTTGGGATTGTCAGACAGACAATTTATTTGATTGATTTCGGTGCCTTCTGTGCATTTTGCTCGTTTCAATTGTGACAAAGTTGTGGCGTCGCATCGCCTTAAATGAGGAAATGCTTACTTTAATTTTATTTACTTTTACGCGTCCATCGTTATCTCTATCTTAACGAGATAAAGAGGGCGAGCGGTGGCCTTTGTGCCGAGACTTTTGGACCCCTCGGGTCATGGATCATGTGCATGCATAATGCGCGCCAAGTCAAGAAGTCCATTGTGAGAATGTATATAATTTATTAAAATGTATTTGTTGTTGCTGTGCAAATTTTCCAGCGCTTTTTCAGGGGAACAATGAATTCCCTCTGTACTTGCTTACAATCATTTTAATCCGTTTTCGTGACAATTTCAAAATTGAACCTTTAGGCAAACAAATGCTTGTAATTTTAAATTAAATTTAATTTGCGGCTGACATAAACCACCTTTCAGGATGGTCACTTATAAACGGATTCCATTTCTTTTATTTTATAGCTTAGAATTATTATAACAATATAAAAATAGTAAGTTCATATATATTTTGATAATAAAATGGAACGTATCTTAACTTTCATATTTATATAATAAATTATATAATATAAAATATAATAAATTATATTAAAAAGTCTTTAAAATATGACTTTCTACTAGTTTGCTTAAAGAAAATATACATAGATGTGTATTAAAATGAATATATGTATATTAATTACCAAAGTACATTTTCTTTGAGAATAAACTTGACTTAACTTCCTTGCATTTTTAGGTTTATCCTTGGGCTCTGCATCTTTCCATGGTGCAAAAATATTTTTATTTAATTCTTGTTGCGTGAAAAATCTACGCGAACCCGCAAAAAAGCGACAAAAATATTTTGCATATGCACTTGTTTTTCTTTCTTTTTTTCATTTGTTTTGCGGCATTTTTGCGAGCGAGGAAAGGAAACCAAGGAATTTGCATAACAAAGTGAATGAAGGCTGGCGGGGGAGGGGTGACACACAGACACACAAAAAACCAATGAAAAAAACAGAGAGACAAAGAGACAGACGGAGAGAGAGCAGTTGTTATTTTTGGCACAGCCAGAGGTGGCGGAAGGGGGATACAGGGAGTGAGAAGAAGTCAGGTTAATGCACCGCAGATTAACAACAATTAAGATTCGAGCGAGCGAGAGCGAAGAGGTGCAAAGAGCAAAGAGAGCCAGAGATGCTGGCGGGTCGGACTGAGATAGCACACGTACCTTTTTCTGGAAGTGGACGCAAAGTGGGGAACTCCTGTTGCTCCTGCCACTGAATTTTCCTGTAGCCGTTGCTACTGCGACTATTGATGCGCCCACTGCTGTTGCTGCTGCATCTTTCCACGGCGACCAACAACAACAGCAAAAACACCCACGAATTCGCTGTCGCCGGCATTTTGCCGCTGGCCGCTCTCCTCGCACACACACACTGCTTTCCTTTTTGTTGTTGTTTAGCCTTCCGTTTTGTTTTCCTTTTACACAAAAACAACACAACACTCACACAGAGGCACACACACACCAACACACGCGAAAACCGGGGGTGGCAAGGAAATCGACAAAACAGGTAACTTTTTTACTCAGATTTCCGTTCAAAAACATGCATTTTGTTTGTTTACTTTTTGCGCGCTAACAATTCGCTGCATAAGTACACTGCACTTAATTCACTTCTCAAATCCTCATGCCGAGGGCCTCTCTTTATTTATCCGCGAAACGCGATGGAACAAAACAAACATCAACTCATAATATTTTAGCCGGCTGTTTACCCGAAGCGACGTAAATTTCTGATTTTTTCTCTGATTTTCTCCGCAGCATCGCGGCACAACCGCTCGTTTCAAAAAGTTTCCGTTTTCTGCGTTTCTTTCTCATTCGGTTTCGGTTTGCTGCAAAGCGGAGCTAAAAAAAAAACATTGGTATGGTATTTTTCGTGGCCACCGCCACGGTCACACCAGTGGTGCTCTGGTACTGTTAAAGTTAACATTCCTGTAATTTAAATATCGTTATATATTTCGTACATTGTTTTGAAAAATGCACCAAGAGATTGCCGAGTTTGTCTTAAATCGAAGAAACGAAAAAAATATTTTTTTCCTGAAAGCTTTTGAAATTAAACTCAAGAGAACCCTTATTAAAACCAACAAGTAAACGGCAATAAAAATAGCAAAATAATGGAAATGTTTAAGAACAAAAAATAAAACAACAACATTTACCATACAAAATTAAACTTATTATTAATATAATAATAAAAAAAAACTAACCTACAACATTAAGAAGGTGGGACATAAAGCAACAAAATAGAAACTTTTAACCATCCCCAAAAATATGTGTCTTCAAAATAAAAAATAAATGAGGTTTGGAACTTTACTAACATGCGCAATTACGCTTTATGTCGTATTTTAGTCACAAACCGAAGAGCCGGCAGTTGTCAAAATATTTTGATTTTTCAAATTGTCTCAAAATCCAATATAAAGCCAAAAACATCACATATCTAAAAATTGTATAAATTCTATAAGGCGCTGCTTGGCATTAAAATGTTTCGCCAACTGAGGGTAAGCTCTTGGAATTTCCATTATACGGTTGCATAAGAATGCATATTGATGCATTTTTTTCCCCGAATTTCTATTTATATTTTTGCAAATACCTAAGATGACAATGGATATTGCGGGTTGGATATTCCTTCCGTGGAGACGCTCAGCATCGAATCTGAAGGATTTTCCGCCGCCGCCGCTGTCCAGCACTTTCGGCGATGTGATTGTGGACTACGAGGACCCGGACTACCTTCCCTTGCCGGAGTATCCTATGCGTCCCAACGAGCCGTTGGATATTCGAAAGCAGCGGTGGGTAAAACATTGCAACATGTTTAGTTGAGGGATTTGTTTGTTTAAATAATAAGGTTTTTAAACCTTCAAAACTATGCCAATTATAAGAAGACATTTTAAGGCTTACAACAATAACTCACTCTCCTAATCCCCTCCAGACTTTTGTATCAATCCCGCAAGCGCGGAATGCTGGAGAACGATCTGCTCCTGAGCACCTTTGCGGCCAAACACCTCCAAAACTTCAGCGCCGAGCAGACGGCTCTGTACGATCAGTTGATTAACGGAGTGACCAACGATTGGGACATCTACTACTGGGCCACCGATGTGAAGCCCACGCCCAAGGAGTACGACACGGAGATCATGGGGCTATTGAAGGAGCACGTAAAGAATGCCGAGAGAGTCACACGTCTCCGTCAGCCGGATCTAAATACTTAAATATAGATATTCCTGAATAGCTCATATTTATAATATGATTACTTTGTAAATTCAATGATCCAGGGTATTAAAATAGATATTATTTGTTGCATGTCCATTATATTGCACAATATGGCAGTAAAATCAGAAAGTTTTCACATTTCCCTAAAGTCCTCAAATTTCTTGTTATATTGACTTAATTTTTGCAACCAATGAAAAGCCTTAAAAAAATAAAACAAAATCCGAAATGTAGTTAAATCTGTTGTGATCCAGGAGATCTAATCTTTAAGCATACGTACATTATATTCATTTAAAAAAAAAGGATTAAAGCATTGTTAAAAAGCCCAACTAACACCTTTCAAAAACTTTGTACAGTGTGGGCAAATTGGTAAGCTCATAGATTTGATCCTTGAGACGTGGTGGTGGTAGAAGATACTTTTTAAAGGCCGGAAACAGCACATGCTCCATGGTCCACCTGGGGTGTGCCGCCGCCGAACCTTCGCGCCAATCCATTTGCGAGTAAAAGCGAGCAGTTTCCCTGCAGAAAGTCTCGAAACAGCGCGCCTCCTGTTCCCAATCCACTTCGGTGGCCAAGCGGAGCAGATAGACCGGCAGGTGAGCCACGTTGGGTCGATGCTGGGGAACCAAACTGGGCAGGGATTCCAGCTGTCCCTCCTCCGAAATGCGCAGTCCGAAATATTCACGCATTATAGGCGCCTTTCTCAGCAGGATCTCCACAGCACTCAACGCCAGTTCAGTTTTATCCCCATCCTCGGACGTCCAGCCGGCGGCCTCACTTTCCAGCGAGAGCATTAGCAGCTCCTTGAGCGGAAGCGGCGGATTCATTGTGATCTGCGAACAATTCTGGAACTCGTAGATCAGCCGCTGATAGAAGAGTTCCTCACTGAAAGAGCGAGTGTTGCAGAGATAAAGGTGCGTTTCATGCTGGAACAGAGCCCGCCTCTCGTCTACACAACCCACATAGACCATGTTTTTGAGAGTGCTCCGCAACTGGACGCTGCACTGCCTCTCCACCCGCTGTCTCATGTCCAAAACGCTGCTAAGTCGCACCTCTCGGGACTTCTTGGCCGCAGTGACACGAAAACTCTCCTCTGGCAGCGATGGTCTCTCCTCCTGGGAGGAACTGGAGGACACACCAGAGTCGGATTTCGCCAGAGGCGCCAGGAACTTATCCAGCTTCTGCTCACTGGCATCGGTGCGCACCATTTCCTTGGGATAGATGCGCTGGGTTCTGTCTGCCGACTGTGTTTCATCCAGATCTGGGGCACCTGGAAGCCGCAGCTGTTTGTAGAAGGTCCTCGTGGAGTTGCTGCCCAGCAGACGGGCTTCCACCTGCTGCTTGATCCGCTCCACGATCTCATCCTGGTAGAGGAAGTGCACCTCGTGCTTGGTGGGATGAACATTCACGTCCAGATTCTGTGGTGGCAGTGTGAGGCTCATGTAGATGAAGGGATGGTGGCCACGTGGCAGGTAGGTGGCGTACACAGAGTCCACGGCGGTCTTCAGTGCTGGCAGATCACGAAGGATTAGTTTTCTATCTAGAAAAGAGAACTACAAGATCACTCACCTGGCGACTCAACTAGTCGCTGGTTGATGAACAGCAGCATCTGACTCTTCTTGGCCGAAAAGTTGACCTGGGTGATAAGGCAGTCGGCCTCGAACTTGAACACCTCATCGCGGTGGCTAAACTCCAGCAGTTCCTTGGATATGGCTGCGCCATAGATAATACGTATGTTTTCGGCCCGGGAACTGGCCACCGGAGTCCTCAAAGCGGGCTGTGCCTCGCCCTGTTTGCGGAGCGTGAACCCCACCCGGGGATTGTGGACAGCGTATCTGGCCAGGACATCGGACAGCCGCTGGAACTCGTCGGCCGGCGAACGGAGCGCCTGTCTCCTTTGCGGCATATTGTAGAAAAGATCCTCGATGCAGATGATGGTGCCCTGGTTGCCGGCACAGGGTTTCGGCGCACCCTGCAGTTTGCCATCCGCGTAGGTGGCCTTGTAGCCGCACTTCTCCTTGGCCGTCTTGGTCTGGATGCTCAAGTGGGCCACATGGCTGATGCTGGCCAGCGCCTCTCCTCTGAAGCCGAACGTGGCTATCTGGGCCAAGTCCTCGAAGCGGGCCAGCTTGGAGGTGGTGAAACGCTCGCAGACGATCTCCAGATCATCGCGCCGTATACCTGTGCCATTGTCCTGGATCTGGAGGAGCTTCAAGCCGCCGGCCTTCACCTGCACCTGGATGTGACTCGATTGGGCGTCCAAGCTGTTCTCGAGCAGCTCTTTTAAGGCGTTGGCGGGTCGCTGGATGATTTCGCCGGCGGCTATGCGGTTGACCACCACCTCGTCGAGCTTCCGGATGACGCCCGGCTCCAAATTTACCGACATGGCGCCAAGTCTTCAATGTAAACACTTTAAAAAATGTTTTGTTTACGTTTTTGGCAGTAAAGGCGGCATCGATTAAATGGCTCTATCTACTTTCGATAAATAACGCATCCTGATATCGATAACCGCCAAGTAAAAAAAACCAATTTATTTTTATTTTTTATTTTATTTATTTTATGCTCTAAATATATATTCTTCATTAAAAACAATTGCAAAGACATCATTCCAAAATATCTTGGTAAGTTATAAGAAAGGATTATAAGTCAACTTGCGTATACCACTAGTCCCAATTTAAAAAATTGTATAATATTAAATCAATTAGCTTTTATATTAAACCAAATATGAGAATAATATAGCTTTATGATATATGTAGTTGCGGCATAAAAAACTGAAAAATGAATTGTAAAAAGTTTTCATTAAGTTAATAACAATTCGTTTATTAATCGGTTGATTAAAATAATATTAGTTTGTGTGGTTACATTTGTTATAACATTGGTCTACTTTATTGTGGGTTTCGTCATTAACAAAAGTTTTTATTTTAGAAAATTGCTTTCTACTCAGGTAGTTCTATGAATTTCAGGTAACATTTTATCCATTGCTTTTAAAATTCAATTTAACAAATATATATATTTTTTTTTCTTGTGTGATTTGAGATTTCTCAGCATTTAGTTGTTTATTATCCAGATAAACTCTTAAACTTCAAATAACTCTTTATAAATTTCGATTCATATGATATTCGAGATAAACTTAAACACTTTTCTTTCAACTACAACTATTTTGATTTGCAAAAACCAATGAATTTTGTAAATTCATTCAGCGTTAAGGAAAACAACGTTATTTTGTACAACAAAATGCTTAAATAGAAAATGGAAATGTTCTGCTACGAATACTATGAGAACCATTTGCACTTTAGGCAAATGAAAACTGAGATTCCGAGAATAATGGTGGTGTACTTAAAGTAGTTGCGCACCTTCTTGCGCTTTCGCTCGGCGAGGATTTCGTTGAAGTCGATGAACAGGGGATTCTGCGTGGGACTGAATGAACCGAGCTGTAAAAATAGTTAATAAAAGTAAGGATGTTTCTAAATTTTTGCTATTAATAACCTACATATTTAACGGTCTTTGTCATTTGGTTGAGTACGTCGCGATATCCCTGCAGATTGCTCTTAATTGTGGTCAACTGCGTCTCCGAAAGATGCCCCAGTTGGTTTTCCTTCTGGTTCATTAAGATAAATCGCAGAGAGGCCTGTATAATGACCAACTGCTGTAGGTGATTGGCGGCAATCATCAGAATCTCATAGAAGCTGGAAGGAATTTCATGGATTAACTAGGATTATTGTGTTAACAATGGCACACCCACTTGTCCATCCCATTCTGTTTGACTCGAGCTATTGACTTGTTGGACCAATGATGAAGGTGGAAGCTACAAGTAGACACAAGTTAAGGTAATATAAAATCAAATATTTTAAAACCACTAGAATCCACTTACTCCAGAATGCCCTTCAAGATCTTGTTGCGGTAAATGGGATACTCGATGCCCACCTCGCGGAGCGATTGTTCATCCATGACCAGGAACTCGGCTAGCGAGATCCGCGCAATGGCAAAGTGTTGCACCATATTGCCCACATTGATGGACTGCAGGATGCCGTTCAGCTCCTGGAAATACTCTGGACAGTCGCTTTTAAGGAAGATGCGTGGAATGTGATCCCTCAGCGTGTTGTAGCCCAGGAAGTGGGTGGGCACCAGATAGGTGGAGGCTGGGCGCGGCAGGATCTCCAGCAGATCGTAGTAGCCATGGCACTCGGCCACCTGGGTGGGCGTGTATCCTTTGTTATTCGCAATGGTGGCATTCACGCCCGCCTCCACCAGCAGCTTCACCACCTCCACGTGATTCCTTTCGATGGCATGGAAGATGGGCGTGCAACCTTGATTATCCACAGCATCGAAGCTTACGTCCTTGATCAGGAGACGCACAACGCCGGTGAATCCGTTCTGGCAGGCGAACATAAAGGGTGTCATTCCGAATCGGTCGGACACATTGACCACCGCACCATGACGCAGGAGCAGACCCACTATTTTCTCCGCCAAATAGGGATCCTTGTGGTGGCAATCGCAGGCCGTCATCAGCGGCGTCACGGAGTCCAGCTGCTTGTTAACATTGGCCTGCATCTTCTCCACCAGCCATTCAACCATTTCGTAGTGTCCCTCGCGACAGGCGATCATCAGCACGTTGGGTCCACCCCGCACATTCCGGTCCACATGGAAGACCAGCTGGCGCATCTCCTCCTGCACCGTCTGCAGATTTCCATCGAGCACCGCATTGTAAAGCTTTTGCTCGGGATCCACATAGGGAGCGGGTTTCGAGCGTTTTATCTGGCAGAGAACAAAAGATGCTACTAAGGCGCCATTCATGTAGTGGCCCAAAGGAGCACTCACCTCATCCGAGAAGTAGAAGCCATCGTAGCTGCTGTCTGAGTCGGAATCCCGGGGAGGGCCGTAGGTGCCCTGGATGCTCATCTTTCTTGGCTTTAGATAAATGCAAATTTGGAAGTCCTAACACATTGTTGTGGTCAAAATCAGGAAAAACGCGAAAGGAACAAAAGGGTAAAGCAAAATTGGTGATGGCAATGCCGTTTTGCATAGCTTAATTCACTATCGATTAATACCGATAGTTCATTGGCTCGATTTTTAAACAATACGATTATAGATAACCAAAATAGCTACTTTCTTGAATTTAAGTTTTATATTAATTAAATACTTACTGAATTTCCTGATCTTTTATATATATATATATATATATAGATATTTTTTTCAAATTCAAAATTTATTACATTTTAAGGGTCAAATTGCTGATCTATATCATCCATTTATTAATTGTACTTTAAACAATTCAAGGTATAAAGGAAGCAAAAGTTTTATTTTACAAGTTTACGAGCTGATATTACATACAACTATATTTTGTACGTCTACTTCTTTTTATCCTTTTTGGTGTATCGTGGTCCTCCGAAACTCTTTCCCTTGTTGAACTTATTCTTGCCCGCCTTGTTTGTGATCTTTACGCTGCTGGCCTTTTTCTTGGCCGCAATCTTGGTCATCTTCTTGTGCCGATTGGCCTCAGATCTAAAGAAAAGAGGAATTAGTTATTACAACCGTTGAAATAAATCAAAGAGTATACCACTCACCTTAAACGCAGTGCTCCACCACGACTAACATCGGTCAAATCGTTGGTGAAAGCAGATTGGGCACCTCGTCGCTTGGGTTTGCCGTCGGAGGCACCGCCCTTGTGAGCTTCTGTGGCAGCTCCCAGTTTGCCCGGACGCTTGCGCAGCTTGGCCATCTTGGCCCGCACCAGCGACACCTTCTCGATCTCCTTCATGGCCCGCTCCTTGGCCAGTTGCTCGGGCGTCTTCTTTCGGGGCTCTTCCTTCTTCTTCTTGTTGCGCTTTGCCTCCAATTCCTTGACCGGAGGTCCATCTTCGCCATCACCTCCGTACTCAGGTCGCTTACGCTTTCCGGCCGTTTTACCCTTGCCCTTTCCACCAGCTGGCTTCTCCTCGTCACCCGTTGTCAAAGCTAGGCGATCCTTCTCAGCCTCGCGCTGCTGCTTCGTCTGGAACCAGCCACGTCGCTCGTTGGACTGGCCCAGCAGCTTGCGCTCCGTTTTGGAAAGCTGCTGCTCCGTCTTGGCCAGCTGCCGTTCTGCCTGCTCCTCGTCCAGAATGTTTTCTAAAGAAAATAGCACAATTACCATCTTATAAACCAATAAATATGTTTTTCAGAGCACTTACGAATCTCCGGCTCCAGACTTGTGAGCTTGTTTCGGTACTTCTCAATGATCTCCGGCGGAATAATACGATTCTTGATGGTGCTCTCGGCATTCTTGATGATGTCCTTGACGATCTTACGTTCCTTTTCGCCGGCAAGCGAAACTGAGATACCAGCACGTCCAGCACGAGCCGTACGACCAACACGATGGATGTAGTGTTCTGTGGTTATGGGCATCACAAAGTTTATGACAGTCTTCACGCCCACAATATCCAGACCACGAGCAGCCACATCGGTGGCAATCAACACATCGATCTGCTCTTCCTTGAACTTCTTGAGAGACTCCAGGCGCTGCTGCTGGGTAAGATTACCATGCAATTCACCAGCTCGAACGCCCAGGAGACCCAGCAAAATGTGCAATCGATGGGCCTGCTTCTTGGTTTGCACAAACACCATGCAGTGGTCGTGGAAGGTTCGGCAAATCAAGCTGGCCAGTATGGGCTCCCGATCGCCCTCCTTATCCTCACGTATGCGAATGAATTCCTGGCGCAGATTAAAGGCCACCTGCTGGTTGTTGTTCACGAACACTTTCACCGGCTTGTCCAACGAAACAGCGGCCAGATCTTTGACCTGCTCGCTCATTGTGGCGGAGAATAACATGGTTTGCCGTGTCTTGCAGCAGGAGTTGATAATCTCCTTCATTTGTTCGGCGAAGTACTCGTCCAGCATACGATCTGCCTCGTCCAGTATGAGAACCTGTTAAATTTTTTAGTTAAAAGTCACTTAATAAAAGACAATATGTGGGATAGAAGTGGAAAAAAATTAAAGGTCAGCTTGCTACTGCCGCGCAGAAACAAGTACCAGAGTTTTCCTCTTAGCTCTGGATGAAGCTCAGAGCGCAAGGATGGAGAATCATCATAAACAAGGTATTATAGTTAAATACTACCGATTTACTCACCTCAATGGAATCCAAAGTGAAACTGGGCGTATTCTTAATGTGATCAATGAGACGACCTGGCGTGGCAATCACAATGTCGGGATTCTGGCGCAGTACCGCCTCCTGGGCCTTGACATCCAGACCGCCGATGGCCAGGCCGACATCTATGCTGGTGAACTGACACAGCTGCTTGGTCACCTGGTAGACCTGGGCGCCCAGCTCACGGGTGGGCACTAGAACCAGTACCCTGGTGATGGCCTTGTTGTTCAGAGGACGATAGAGCAAACGTTCAAGGGTAGGCAACATGTAGGCTGCCGTTTTGCCCGTTCCCGTGGCGGCGCAGCCACAGATGTCACGTCCCAGCAGAGCCACCGGAATCGTGGAGGCCTGGATGGGCGTGGGATAGATGTAGCTCAGCACTCCGATGGCACGCATCAGGGGACGGGACAGATTCATCTGGTAGAAGGAGGTGATCTGCTCATTGGCCTCCACAGTGTCGTCAAACTGCATCTTTTCGCCCTCCTCCTCCTCTTCCTCCTCGCCGGCCTTCTTCTTCTTGTTCTTGGACTGTTTCTTCTCGCGTAGCCGTAGGTTGTCATGCTTCAGTTCATCCTCGGAAAGATCTATCTCACTTCCATCGCTCTGCTCGGCGGCCACCGCGTCGGCGCCACCTCGCTTCTGCAAACGTGCAGCAATCTTGTCGTCGGTCTTTGTGCGCGCCTTCCGCTTCACATACTTCATCAGATCGTCCCAGGTGTCCTGGTTGTACTCCTTCACCGAGGACACGAACTCAAAGCCCTTTTCGAACTCGGTCACCTTCTTGTGTCTCAGTTTGGTGGGTTGGTACTGTTGAAAGAAAAACTCGTATTCAGTTTTCATTAGTTTTAAGTTTGAGTAACCCACCTCCACTTCCGCATCGGAATCCTCCGACAGGTTCTCCACCTCGGCATCATCCTCGATGGTGCCTATCAAGTCCAGGTTTTTGGTTGCACCCATTTTGTGCATTTATTAACTAATTAAAACTCCAGCGCGTGTTTACAATTCGAACACACGTGTAGCGGGCGGCTGGTGGTGTGAGAATTTGTAGTCAAATCATCGTTTACAAATATCGGTTGCTACAAAAAAAAAATGATCTGATTATATTATAATTGTAATTTACAAACAACTTTCTTTTCTTTATATATATGTATGTGTGAATTTTTGTATATATTAAAAGCTATAATATAAAAAACATTACCTAAAAAAGAATATTATTTTTATTTTGTAAACCATCGATAAGTCGCTTAACTTTTTGCCGGCAATAACTGGCTCTATCGTTTGCACATCTCTAACTCCTCTCGAACAGCTGTTTAACCAATTTTGTTATGAAATTTTTTTGAGTTTCACATTGAAAATGCTGCGTTTACTGACAAAAGCAAAAGTCCTGCGGTTAGTTAATATAAGTAAACAACTAAAATATATTAACGGTGATAATTTATGGATTTTGCAGGCAACTGGTGCCAGCAACAGACGCTACTCCGGCGGTGTCCCGCTTCTATGCTAAAAATCAGGGAGCTGCTGGCAAAAAACCGCAGGAGGACACAGTCAGCAACGAGCCCATACAGTTCTTCGGCAGCCAGGCGGCCACTTGGCGGGCGAAGGACACCAGGAGCGGCGGAAGCGATGAGTCCCTTTGGTACCAGCCCTACGTGATCTCCGCCAGCTTGGCCGTATTCCTCCTGTACTTCTGCGCCCTGCGCGAAGAGAGCGACATCGATCTGCGGCTGGAGGGCAACCTGTACGACCATGTCAGCGGTTTGGAGGAGGTCCAACTGACGGTCAACTACAAGTACAATAAGGAGCACGGACTGGACACCAAGGAGCAGGAGCAGAGGCTCAGGGAGCTGGGTGTCGATCTTGGCCAGTTGGATGCCAAATTGGCCGCCCAATAGTCTTAGAATTGGTTAAATATACGTTTTTTCTTTCGTTAAGTTAACAAGTTGGTTAAAATTAAACTTTTTAGCAACTAAAAGGAACATTGTGTATGATTTCCATGATTGTGTTAATTTTTATATTTGATTCATTAAATAGGTATAAATGTTTGAAACATTAAGCTTAATTTTAGGTTATAAAATAACTCAAATTCAAGCTTAATTTCCTTGGTTATTTTCAATCCTTAATTGCATAATTGTCTCAATTTCTATCCTTGAGACATAAACCAAGAATATGATACAAAGAATACCAAAATTAAGTATTAATGTTTTAAAATATTAATCTAAGTTTAAAGGAATAATTTATTGCAATAATAATCAAGAACAGTTCAAGCTGTATACAAATTTGAAGCTCAAGATAAGATTATTAAAATTGTAACTCAAACTTAAATTTATTTGAACGGATGCTTCCAAACTGCCATCACTGAGTGTGACCAAATTCGCATTCACTTGACTATCGCCCCCAGCTGATTGCTATCGATAGGAACAGCTGAGTTCCGCCCGCAGGTGTGCACACATTGAGATTCCGATAAGAAACCCGCAGGAAAAGTAGAAAAGGTAAACTGATCCAGCCAGCTATATATCTATTATCTGAGCGTTTCATGCACACATGCGCTGACACACAGTCGGCTCCACCCCCAAAAGCAGATTCCAGTGGAGCGCGAAAGACTCCGACGACAGCATGGTGAGTAGACAAAGAAGCCCTATCGCAGTGGCCCCCGCCCATCGCAACCGCCTGATTTGCATCCAATCACGTCTTTGCAGAGCTACGATGACGATGACTATCCGGCGGACACGTTCCCCAAGGACTTTGGCTATCGCGCTTACAACCAGGACGGCTTGGAACTGGAGCCAAATGCTACGGGCAGCAGTGAGACAAAACCGCGCATTCTCCTCATGGGAATGCGCAGATCCGGCAAGAGCTCCATCCAAAAGGTGGTCTTCCACAAGATGTCGCCGAACGAGACGCTCTTCCTGGAGTCCACCAGCAAGATCGTGAAGGACGACATCAACAACTCCAGCTTCGTGCAGTTTCAGATCTGGGACTTTCCTGGCCAGATAGATTTTTTTGAGCCGACCTTTGACTCGGACATGATCTTCGGCGGCTGCGGTGCCCTGGTCTTTGTCATTGACGCCAAGGATGACTACAATGAGGCGCTGACCAAGTTCAAAAACACAGTGCTGCAGGCGTACAAGGTCAACCAGCGCATCAAGTTCGAGGTGTTTATACACAAGGTAATATCCGTGATTTAGACGCTTATCGGCTGTGATAACCCAGTGACACCTGCTTGCTTCCCAGGTCGATGGCATCAGCGACGATTCGAAAATGGAATCGCAGCGGGACATCCATCAGCGATCGTCGGACGACCTCAGCGAGGCGGGCCTCAATCAGATCCACCTGAGTTTCCATCTGACCTCCATATACGACCACTCGATCTTCGAGGCCTTCTCCAAGGTGGTGCAGAAGCTGATTCCCCAGCTGCCCACGCTGGAGAACCTGTTGAACATCTTTATACCAGTAAGTTGGATTCGGTTTTATTTAGTCTCAGTTGCGTGTTTAGCTAATCCTGTAATCCTTGTAGAACTCGGGCATAGAAAAGGCCTTTCTGTTCGATGTCGTTTCCAAGATCTACATAGCCACGGACTCCTCGCCCGTCGACATGCAGACCTACGAGCTTTGCTGCGACATGATTGACGTGGTCATAGATCTGTCCAGCATATACAGGTAAGCTGACTAATTTATTTATTATGACTGCATAAAACTAATTGGCTCTTGCAGCTCCGAGGAAACCGCCTTTGACAGTGGAAGCTCTAGTCTCATCAAGCTGAACAACAACACGATACTCTACCTGCGGGAGGTGAACAAGTTCCTGGCCCTGGTCTGCATCCTGCGCGAGGAGAACTTCAACCGGCAGGGCGTCATCGACTACAACTTTATCTGCTTCCGCGACGCCATTAGCGAGGTGTTCGAGCTGCGGCTGAAACGCCAGAAGCAGCTGGAGAATAACGACCAGGACGACGATGACCTGGTCGTCGAGCAGTCCCTGATTCGCCATGGCCACGACGCAGCTGGAATGTCGCGGGCGCAGCCAATCAATTAGGCGCACTTTATAAACCCCAAGCGGCGAACCGCTTTTATTTTCCCCTATGCTAGCTTCTCTGTGGATACTTCGATTCCAATTTGTACGTTTCTCTTCTGTTATATCTGCTGTTACTTTTGTCTACTGATACGTTAAGTCGCCACTCTCACAGAGCAGCTTAACAAATTGCCCAGCGGTTGAAATTAATGATAATACTACCAATAAATATGTCTATTTTTAAATACAAACGAGTGTGGAATATTTGACCTATCCTTTTTAATATCTTTGGTTTTTCTTTCTGGTGAAAGATGGCTTTTTCGATTAAAAATCCAATTTATACTTAAAGTTTTACCAAGAATGGGCTTTTAAGCTAAAATATTATTTTAAAAAATGATACCATATTTACAAAATAAAAAGAAAAAGTAGTTTTTAATAGAAGATATTAAAGACTTTTTTGTTAATAACTCTTTTCAAAATTTTGGACTATAACATTCATTGCAGCGACAGATTATGGCAAAGGCCTGAAACAAGTGTGTTTCCTTGTATTGTTTATTGACGGTGTAAAAGTTCCGGACAATTAATGCTTTCAAGACTGCAAGTTAATTTGTGTTTTAATATCTACCGCCAAAACTCGAATTTATACATAATGGTTTGAGTCCCCACTAGATGGAGTTTCAAGCCGCAATTCGATAATTGCTTATCGATATTTGCCCACCTCTAATGGCGAAACAGGTCACACTGGCGCTCAGCTGCTTCAGTTGTTGTTGTTTTTCCATTTCTCCAGCGCGAGGTCCGAAAAATTTCCGAGCGCATCGCAACGGTAATTGTCCGGTGGTTAGTTAAATAACGCGACTAGTTTTAATAGCCAATTGTGCGGCGACAGCTTGGCCCAAATTCAATTTCAACGCCCAGGCGCTAATTGCTTAAGGCACCAAAAAAAAATAAATAATAAAAAGCTGATAAAAAGTAAGAGAACCCTGGAAAAAGTGGTTGTGTGTGTATTTGGCGAAGCACTGAAAAAACCAGTTAGTTCGCAGTGAAAGAGATTCAATAACGTGTTGGGAGAAAAGAGAAGAACAAATTGTTTCGAGTGTTTCGAGGCGACAGCAACAACAAATACAACAACAACTGGTCCGGTACGAAAAAGTCCGCTTTCCTCGCTTATTAGCGGTGCTTTCCTCGGGCCCACGATCTCAAAAGTCAACTGGAAATCGGCGAGACCTAAAACCGGGCTATCATATAGCAAATTACCCGCAAATTGATATATGTATATGCAAGTGCATCATCATCGTCAGCATCTTAATAAAACCCAAGCAGGTGCGTACCGTTTGCAAACTTTCGATATTATATTCGTCTGATCGGGATCTTTCCTCTCTTGCTCTCTCTCTCTCTCTCTGGTGTCTGGTGTCTACTATACAGCACATATCATTATCTTTCGGTTATTGTTAACCATCTTAGGCATTCATTCAGCAGTCGGTTCCCCATTCATTTGCCTAACATACATTTTTTTAAACCCGTCAAACAAATAAAGTGAAAGGTGGCGGCACGCGTTTTCCCATCTATTCTATTGTATTTGGCTTCGCGACAGCAAGGAAAGCGAAATCGTTCTTAGTCATCAGGATTTTCGGGGGGTGGAAGATGGTCAAAATCAAGTAGGATTTATTCCGCCTGGCAACAGGCAAGAATGTTGACAGAAAGGGATATAAAAATCCCATGTAGTCCAATCATTACATCGATTTTTTCCATTGTTTTGTTACTTGTAAAACAAGGAAAGCGTTCTTAAAATAAACAATTTCCAAAGGATTTTTTTTTGCTATTGATCAAATCAAATATTTGATAAATCGCAAATACCCCACGATTATTTTAATTATTTATCCGTGTAGGAGATCTATTAAATTTCAACTAAACTCTTAAACCATGAAATATGTGAAAACCTCAGTAGAGAAACACCGCCTGACAGCCGGCATGATAATTCCCTGTTGACCCCCAGCTTTTTATTGATTTTTGCAGCTGCTGGGGCGCACTTAATTATTAGTTTTATACCACGACAAGTGTTTCGGTACCACACCCACTTGTGACAGAGGAAAAAGCGTAAGCGGAAATGATTTCATACACCGAAACCCACCCTTGAAAATGAAAACACACCATGTTGAAAACCGCGTTTCCATGCTTTATGGCCATAGCCTGCCCCAAGTCGCTTTTCCTCGTTTTCTCGCTTTTATGTTGAGGTTAGGTCACCAAATTCATCTGATTTTCGGGGTGCCGGCTTCTTTGCGTCGTCGCATAAAAAGATGCTCGAATTTGGGGGGTGCAAAACGTCATGCTTTTCGTTTTCGTTGAATTTTCACGGCCGAATTGATTTTTCAAACGTAAACGATACAAAATGTTTCGCAGAAATGGCGATAATAAAAGCGCCATTTCATTTTCGCAACCAACACGCACATCGAGGTAATTAATTACACTCATTGCCGTTTGTCTTCCCTCTTACAAGACTAAGGCGTTAATTCAGCCAGCACGTGCGTCTACTCTCATTGAGTTTTCCGTTTTTCAGTTTTCATCTGCTCAACAAAATTCTCTGCTTGCCCCCCCGAAAAATAGGGGGAAACGAAAAACGCAGCCATGACCAAAGAAATTCAAAACTTGAGCAATTTGTAGGCAAATTAAGGTGTTAACTAACCGTGAAGTTGGTCAGTGGGCAACCCAACAAAGATGCTCTAACTTAAAGTTTATACAGAGTGAAAAAATAAACCCAAAAGTAGATGTTCTAAGTGTGGGTTAAAGCAATAGATTTTTTTTATCAATTAAAATCTATTATAAAAAGTCCTTAAAAAAATATACCTGAGTTGAACTCTCACATCTGGGTGTTGATTGTATTTTTAAATCGAATAAAAATGATTGAGATGTACTAAAAGCAATACACTGAGAAACAAGGGACAAATTTTATAAATTAAATTTTTGTA